ACGAGCAACATATAGTCAACTACTCATCTCTCTGCGGAAACTAATGTGATGATGATGATGCTTTTATTAATTTCTTATTGGGTGTAGTATGATCTTATGTACTTGGTTTGAAAGTTAGTACATCAATCGATCTACTAGGTTTTTTGCTTTTTCCTTCTACATTTTCGTTACTAGTTTTGGGTTCGGATTTCTTGGTTGGTGTTTTTAGGTTTAAAATTAGGGTTTTTATATATTGCATATCTTATTTTCCATGTTTTAGTATGAGGATATAATCATACATGCGTGTAGTATGTTCTATTAATATATCTTTATTTATTTATAATATTTGATGAGGTTATACATAACCAACTCCGACTGCAGCACATAAATCAAAGTAGTCATCAGCAGCTATAACCATGATCCATGTCACTAGCTACGAGAAGGGCTAATATCAAGAATGCAATTTTTGTTCGAGATGAGACATAGTATTTGTTAAGTATAAGTTATATACTGTATAACCATGAAAACACATGCACTTTTGTTAATTATTTAAAATGTGTCTAAAAGTAATATGGAATTTAAAGTTGGTGTATTTAACTTTCAGTCGCAAATGTAATTGACGATAATAAAACATTAAACATGTATATAAACTTAATTTCATGGATATTGATATAGGATCCGCATTAAGAATCAATCTATTCTAGTAGAGGTGACTTGAAAGAATTTTATGTTTCCTTTTTAAGCCGTATATGAAGTTATGAACTATGTCATTACCAAGTATTGTGGAGAGCTTTTGAGTATAATTTCTTATAAAAAAATGAAAAGACTATGTATTATATTTACGATCTTATGAAATCGGTCCAAATTCCGCATAGTTTTCTGATTATTCCAATTTTAAAATTATAGAGTCTTTTACGGCATACTTTAATTAGACTTTTTGATGATTTTGATGTAAAGCAAAGGAGAATCTATTTGAGACTTTATCTACAAGCTAGTTATTTGAACATCTAACTAAACTACGTATACTCGAATTCGTAGGGTTTTAGAACTAAAATTTCATTTTAACACGCAAAGTACAACAATGATTTTTTCAACTGTTGAGTGTTTTTCTATTTTGTTCCTTATCATGAGCTTAATCATTACATATAATTTTGTAACAATTAGTACATGCAAATATATGTATGACATATATAACAGATTTTTTTTCAAAACATATCTACTGAATATTATATTGGATAATTTATATGATACAGTATATATGTGATAGTGATTAGTTTTATAATTATTGTAATGGTATTACGGTATTACATTATAGTGATTATATAATGATATATAAGTGCAGAAGACTGAAAGTAATTAAGGGACAATGATTTAGTTATGCTCTGCAAAGGAACGTTCTTTGTGACTCCCGATAAGTATTGTCTTGTTGCCTCATTCAGGTATTTGTTTATTCATTATCTATACCTAGCTACTATTAGAAAATACTTCAGGATAAAGATAATATTTATTTTCTAGTGTGTGTCTATGTGTATACGTAGGTGTATATTATATATAGTGGAGATCAACCCGCTAAATATATCATTTGATTAAAAATTTGCGTATTGCATGCATGATCGTCGATAAAGCATATGATCGGTTTCGAAAACGACGAAATAAGATAAGTCGACAAAGAGAAAACTTATATTAACAAATGATAAATTATCAGTTTTAAACTATTCAATAAAGAAGATTGTTGTTGGTTGAGTACCACATATACATGAGTTACGTTAAAGTGTTAAAATAATAGGGAAAATTAGTATTGAAAACGTTTTAAAAATTTTTGTTATCAACAGTAATTTTAAAGAAATGCTGCTTTCTTGACCAACTAGGAGTCAAATCTTGAGAGATTGTGAAATCATGATTGAATGTCATTTAGCTACGATGAATGAACTCTGCTACCAAAAAAGAAAAGAAAAAAAAACAGTACGACGAACTATAGAATATAAATATCTATTGAAAGAATATTTCAGATTGAAGAGATTGAAAAATCAAAACGTAGTAAACGAAGACCAAATCAATGTCGGAACAGAGGAGCAAGAAAAACGACGCGCCTAGGGAGAGAGCAAGAGGCTCGTGACCGTCACGGACCACTAGGCGACAAAAGTAACGGTGCGTCAGGAGAGGTGGGAACCACGCGCAAGAACCGAGAGATTCGATCTTGAAATTACACGCGCTTCTATGCGCGCGCATGAGAATTCGAGCCACCCAAAGCAACCCAAAACAAAAACAAATTCACTACAAAATCCCAAAAACTCTGTACTTCTGATTTTTTTTTTCACTTACATGTGACTGACAACCAAACTCGGTACTTCTGTCTTTCCACATCACCAATTCTTCTTTTTATTTTATTTTTATTGAGATATTATTAGTATTATTTAGATTTTATAAATATCTAGATACTATACAATTTCTTTATTAAATTTTTACAACTTATTGTTTAATATATATATATATATTAGCGACGAATGTGTAATGCCTTAAATCGCGAGGAAGGGTATATTTATGACTCCATCTTTTAAAGTCAACAAGTTCTTAGTACGGGCCAATCATAGGTTAAGAAAACGAATGTTGGAATGCTTCCATTTATCATCATCATGGTCGTGTACTCGTATATTATAAATATTTTATTCGTATCATTGTATCAAAGTCTTTAGATTCGGTCATAGGCTATGACTCAATAGTCATATAGCCTAGGTGGTAAAAATGGTACAAACCAGTCCTTGAAGACGGACCAGCGAATCTGAACAATGTTTTTCCAAATTGGGATATTACAGGTAAATTTTGTTGTCGAGGATAAAAGAAATTGCATATTAACGTCACGTGGATAAAGATGATACACATACGAGTCGAGTCTTATTACACGTTTAAAGTTGTTTCGTGGTAGCTAGTATTGATATTAGAATAATATACTAACGTATAATAATATTTTAACAGTAAACTACTTGTCAGTTGTCACTATATTTCTAGAGCATGGAACCTTCTTGGCCCAAAAAACCAAGCCGGATTCTATACATATAGGGACAAAACATTATACATAAATTTATAACAAGTAAACTGTGTACTTGTATAATTTGCGTTTATATAATTTATGCACTCGCAAAAATAATGTATGCAAAAAGATGCATGCCTGGATATTGTATAGTTTTCTGCGAAGATCATTCTCTCTCTTTACAGTAACATCGCAGCTTTTACTTTTCTGAGACTATTTCCTTGTTCACTTGACTGATCTTGTTTACTCATTAATAGTGTCATAGTGTAGTCACCGTAGTCAGTAGTGTTGTGGTACTTGGACTTCGGACTCCAATTCGTAATATAAAGAATCCGAATTGAAGTCTGTGCAAGAATAAAATAATTTTAGGAAATGGAAGGATATAATTATTGAAAAAGTATATTATTATTGTCTTCCATAAAAGCCTTGATCGAAAGTATATAACATTCTAAAATTGGTAAAATTCAAAATTTTAATTGCGTATTACTAGTATATATGGACATGATTCAAATATTCAATCATATAAATATATATAGACTAACCTATCTTATAGCACATGTGATGGATATTTAGTTATCCTAAGAAATATTCTAACAAATTAGATGAACATTCCATATTAGTGTGCATACTCTATAGCTAGCTAGTCTTTGCCAAAAAATTTATTTACATAATTCCATCCCATTATTAATTTTGGCCAACCCCAAAAAAAGAACAATGAGGGGTCCCTCAATTTGGGAGCTTTTTGATATGGCTAAGTAAAATTGTCGACGATTTCCTTAACAACGTTATGCAACTCCTACGCCTACACTTATCATTACCATTGACAATCTCCCGCTAATTAGCTAATTTTCGAATCTAGTGATTACTAATTGATAAAAAAAACAATTAGCAACAAATATTGTTAATCACATAACTATTTTTCTGTACACATACTAATTAAACTATTAGGTGAGAGCGAGACCTTCCATTTCGTCAAAATGTATTTAAAATTAATCAATTATTTCTTTTCGAAAATATAATTTCCAGGCAACTCACATGTTTAACCTCAAAGTATAAAGTGTTCAAGCCCTATTGTTTTCCCAGCCTAAATTTTTGTTGACTCAAACAAGTATTATTGAGGACAGTGTGATCCAAATTACTCATATTCAAGAATTTGATGGATCTTAAATTTTAGGATGTAAAGGAACAAAAACTAACCTTAGATTTTTGTTTCTTTCCTTATAGATATACACATATCATCTCTGTCTGTTTACTGGTAAAAGAAGGTCTCTTTTCTTTTTGTTCACTTGTCCCAATCGTTGCCCACAATCAAGGCGGGGCCTTAGGTTTATTCAGCACCTTTACGTACAATTTATTACATATTCGACGTCACAAATGGATTTTACATATATGTGCTATGTGCTATGTGATTGATACATGCACCAATCATTTTCAAAATGGTACAACAATTTGATTTCCTTTAATAACACAAGCCATGCACCTCAAGTTGATGTCCTTTTTAACTTGACCAATAACTAAGAACCACATCTAACACACGTATAGTATGTGTACCAACGCATATCCATAAACGTTCATATGTTTCTTTTTTCTTGTAATAAGGATCATAGTTTCGTCTCGACTTGCATCAGTCTATAAATAACTTTTTTTAACGAATTTATATATATTATTTTAAATTCGGCCGTGGTGGCCGATAATAGATGATTGTGACGGATGATGATGACTGCCCATAAAAAGTTGCTTGGTCCTTAAGAAAACATACGAGGCCTAACAAATCCTCACATAACAATATATATAACACATTAGCATAACTTTGTGGACCGTTTTTGCTTAGCTCACTAAAATGTAAAAAGATCACCAACATTTCCAACTTTCAAGCACATCAACATCGAACATCATTGTAACGAATATTTGAAAATCTACAAGTAGGCCCAATAACGAAAGACTTAAATATGGGGCCGAGGAAAGTACGTTTGTAAACCAGCTTGGACCGATATTAGACAAAACATGGTTAACCAGAAGACAAATGGATCCACCCATAATAGTTTTCGTTTCAACATTTAATCATCTTTGCTACAAAATTATCCAAAGAAACATTAGGCAAAATTTCTAAAAATAAAAAACTGGTTTTTTCGAAGAAACAGAACGTTGAAGCCGAGAGAGTCACTGCATCATTTCTTCTTCTCAGTTGCAGCAGCACCGCCACCAGACCTGCAAAATAACCAAAACAAAGTTGAATCAGCAAGTAGAAAACATTTCATGAGTCTTTGGTAAAGATGCAATGTTAATGAAAGAAAGATGAAGAGGAGAATAGAATAGACCTCATCTTGCGGAGAACACTAGACATCTCCTCTCTCTTTCGCTTGGCTCTCTTGTGGGTTCCCAACTTTCGCTTGGCAACTTTGAGAGCTCTCTTGTCTTTACCGACCTTCAAAAGCTCAGTGATCCTCTTCTCATAAGGAGCAAAACCAGCAACTTCCCTGATGAGAGACCTGATAAAGAGAGTCCTCTTGCTTGTTTTCTGTTTGCCAATAAAAAAAATTCATATCAGAAAAACCTTATTAAGGATACGATTCATACATAAGAAAATGATAACAACACTTAAAATGGAATAAACCAACAAAAAAATAACAGGAAAGAGTGTTAACATAAGCAAATCAGATTTCGAATAAGGCTACTAAGAATTAAAAAAACACAATAACAACATATAGGTGATAAAGACATCAAGACAACAGAAATTAATCCCTTTCTACATACTCAATAATGTGTAGTGACCAGCGATTCCATTGACGTGTAACCCTATTAGACTTAGTAGATAGAAAGAACAGAGCAGGGAGTTTCAAGTTGAACAAAAATTAGTTTATTCTAAAGCTCATGATCGGAACTTATTCTACTAAGAAGCTTAAAATCTAACAAAGCACAGAAGTTAATCAAAACTGACCATTGAAATAAGGAAGCAGCTAAGTACAAGAGCTAAAGAGTAAGAAAGAAAAGAGCTTTACCCCTTTTCTGTTGTTAGGGCGAGGAGGTTGCTCTCGCTTTGTAACAACGTGTCCTTTGTTCAGCCCAACGAATAAGCCAGTCGCCACCATTTTCTTTGCAAATTCAACACAATAAACAAAAGTAAGAAGAAATCTCAGATCTGACTACTTGTATGCGTCTGAAATCAAAGCTCTATATGTTTCTACTATCAATAGCTCGGATCCCAAATCGATTCTACTCGACGAACAATTCAATTTCTCAATTTATCAAGCAAATCGCGATCGAAAGGGAGTAAACTCGCGAAAGATTTCTAGATTCCACAACTTTCACACTCATCGAAAGGGAGAAAATACGAAAATCGGGAAAGCGAAAGATCTGTGATCACTGACCTGAGTTTTGAATCTCTGAGTGCGCCGCCAATGGAGTCGAAGAAGATTGTGAGAGTGCGAGACGAAACGAATTTATAGTCTTCTCCAAATATTATTAGGGTTTAGCAATTTCGAAGAGCCGCTTCGTCCTCCATTTTTAATGTATTTCCAATTATACCCTTGGCTACTTCAAAACGACGCAGTTTGAATTGATGGACTTTTCTATGAATGGGCTTTTTTATTTACAGAAAACTGATTTTTCATTTATTAGTGGGCCTTTCGGATACTAAACTTAGTTGTAAACTGCAGAAACGTAAAAGGAGTTTGATAACGTATAGTTCAACTTGCAAACATAAAGTTAAAAACGTAGAAAGCAAGTTTCCCAATCATAGACATAGAAAATGTTATTCATTTTTAATATCAACTTCCCTACTCAAGAATTCATATCACATGCATACTGATTGATTCAACTCATGCAAGGGAGAATGATTCCAAACTCCCAAATAAGACAAAAAAAAAAAAAACACAAATACAAAGTAGAATCGGAATGTGTTGCGTTAGACGACCATCAGTCCATCACATTACACAACTCATCATCGTGTGGTTGATCCGACGGCTCGTCTCTCCACCATGAGGAAATGTCCGAGAGACTGAACATTGTTACGACCACCATTATTGTCTTCGTTTGTAATCCTGTTATGGGAAATGACAGTGGCATTCGTGCTTAGCTTTGAACATATAGAGAAAATCCATGGCTTGTAATTAGTTCTTAGGCTCTTCTGGTGTTGATGGTTTCTAGCAGCCGTTTGATCAATCCTTGTTCTGTTTGATCTTCTTGAAAGTTCAAGAAAGCTTGATATCCCTATTAGATTTCCTAGAGTGTAGCTCCTATCGCGGAAAAATGATCCCATCGACTGAAAAAAATAAATAAGAGATGTGTGTAATTTAAAAAAAAAAATGCTATTAATTAGCGTATGATAGATGCAAAAGCTAAAAAGGTTAAATTGTTACAACATACGTATAGTAGTTAGTTGCGATGTTTGCTTTCATCGAAGAGGTCGACAATTTTATTACGATGGTGAATGGTGACCGAAAACAGATTATTAAGTGAAAACTAAAATGATCTGATTTTATAGGATATTATAATGGCGAAAACATAACTTAAAAGACATTATTGGTAAATTTGTGTGAAATTTTTTGTCATAACGTGAATGACAAACAAAATTTGTGTGAACTCACAACGAATTATTGGTAAATTTTTCAATGATTTCAGTTTTCAATACGGTGTGATTAAAAGACAAAAAGTGTCAATATATTCGAGAAAATTGCTTTGCCTAGTATTATTTTAAATTAACTTTATTTTGATGAATTTAACAATTTCCGACAAACGTGCCCTTTTCAGACAAAACCATCACAGCTTTAAAGTGGATCCAATTGGTTCACGTTTGCTCTGAAGTCATCTCAACCAACAAAACAATAGTACTACTAATATATTATAGTATTTTCGATTTTTGCAGAAAACGAAAGAGAATGTGAATTCAATAGATCCAAACTAGTAGTCAAAGGATAATCATTATTTTCCTTCTAAATTTCCTCAGAGGAGAAAAAAGAACCGTAGACAGTTTCAAACGGCTCATCAATTAATATGCAAGAAAACTATAAAGAAAAAGAAAGAAAGAAGATAAAACTGAAATCAACTATTTTGTCAAGCAACATATAATCAATATACTAAAATAGTTCATAACTGATCCATCCTGATATGGGAACAAAATATGAAATTTTGGAGGGATATGCAAGGATTCAACCAATCTAGGAATCTGCCAACCCGTGAATAGTTAACTATATTATTTAGTGTATATATATATAATATGTGTGAATGCAACTATACACCTATATTTATAGTATATATAAGTTGAGAAGTGTATATATATATATCTATATATCTGACCTGGGAATCAAGATCGGAAGAAGAGTGAGAGGATGGAGAAGGAGAGAGAAGAGAGCTGAAGGAGATGGAACCAGCAGAGACTTGCTCATGATGATGATGATGATGATTATGGTGATGAGTTCCTATTCTGAGTCCTCCGATTCTTGCATTTACTGGTCTCAGACCCAATGGCCATCCTTCTTCCTATACATACATAATCACATTCATTACATACTTGGTGTCAGTTGGTGTATATAGTTTTGTGTTAAAGAGCCAAAGTGAAAAGAGAGGATTAGGATACCTGGTGAGCCATTGAAGTTTGAGACTGCGAGAGAGATATTTGGTTGAATAACTATGGAACTACAGACCTAGAAATGAAAAAGGAAAAAAAAAGACGTGTATATAAATATTTGGGGAGAGAGAGATGTAAATGATTAAATCTTATTTGACAATTAATCAGAAATAGAAGAGACTGAAAAAGAAAAAAGGATTTGGCTTCGCCCGGGTTCGAACCGGAGACCTTCAGTGTGTTAGACTGACGTGATAACCAACTACACCACGAAACCATTTTGAGGGTTGGTTACAATGTTATTATATTGAATAGCGGTAAAAGAGAGAGCTGGTATTTTATTTTGGTCAAAGAACAGAATAAATCATCTTTTAGTTCTAACTTTACATTGATAAAAAAAAAAAAAAAAAATTAATCAAATTAAAAATGGAAAAAGGAAATAAAAATAACATAGACAACGCAATTAGAGTACCGTTACCGTTAGATGCTCGAAATTGAGGAAAGGAGAAAAAGAAACTGGTATGGACAAAGGACCATATGCTTCGTCTCCAGTGTACCTCGACAGACAAAACACTTTATCCTTTTTGGACCACATCATACTGTTTTTGTAGCTTTCCACTTCTTTCTTTAAAATATATATATGGCCATGGATGGGTTCTTCAACAATATACAATTAAAAAGAACATGTTCAAAATTATCAGTTGATTCTAGCTAGCTAAACTCAAGTCAGGTGTAAGTGTAACGGTTTTACATTCTTCTAGGTTCTAATTTAAAACTAACTGATGTCAGCCTGCGAAGCCCCATGCTACCATGAGCTCGTACGACGGACATGATTATTTTATAATCCAACACCGAAACGGTAAGTTTAATGATAAAAATCAACAACTCAAACAGTTTTTTTTTTCTCATTTAATACATTTTCATGATACAAATTGTATAGAATGATTAAGTTCATGTACAAACTCTGAAACTAATTGAGTTTTGATGTTGTTATTTGGATTCATCTTAATGCGGTATAGTACTTAAGTGAGAATAAATAAGAGAGAGAGAGACTCTTGAATCAGGATTTAGAATCTCTATATATCAAGTTTCCTTCTTCTTTTATGTGACTATACAGTATACAAATTTTTTTTGGTCGACAAGAACAGTATACAAATTAAACTCAGTCGACTATGAATGAATATGTGAGAGCTATACATAATAATACACCGTGTAATATGTATATACAAAAATTGAGCACGGTTGCGTCAAAACAGAGATCCTTGACGACCGACTCTACGGGGTAATCCGAAATTTTGGTAAGCTCGAATTTGTCCCTTGATCGTGGCTGTAACGATCACCATTCCCCAAGCTGTTGGCTGAATCGTATGTGAATGACTGCCACTACTATCAAACCAAGACCAAGAAGAAATCCGAGAGGAGATTGATATAGAAGGTGAATCACCATGTTTTAATGACTCTCCTGTGTTGTTCTCTGATTCGTTTTGTGGATTATGCGTCATTGACTCGTCATCTTGATGTTGTTCTGTTGCTCCATCTGTGGTGCCGTCATTGTTTTTCTTAGGTAACGGTGGGAGGCCTGATTTTTTACTTGTGGTTGTGTTTTCTGGGGTAGTTGTAGTTTTTTTCGGGTTTCTTTTAGATTGGGGTTGTGCAGATGGTGGTTCGCCTTTTACAACGCCATTCCACGGGACTGCTACGGAAACATCTTTGCAAGGGAAGGTTTCGTAAGAAGTACACATGTTGACGGTTTTTCTACCAGTGATTCCTAGTCGTGGCTCCTCATGTTTCCACACGTAAACCTGTGAGTCTTCGCTTGCGCAGACAATGTGCTTAGCATCTACTGTGTAGGATGCTGTCATTTGGCTGTTAATGTTTTTGAAGCCTGGTATATAGATTAATAGGAGATTTTAAAATTTTACTTTGCGAAACTGAACAAAGAAACATATGGAGTTGATTCAGTTACATAGATACCTCTGAATTTTTGAACAAGTTCGGTACCGTCAAGAATCCGAATGCGTGAATCAGCAGAAGTTACAAGCACTTCTGATGGATTAATCGGTGAAAACTGTTATATGGAAACTCAATGGTAAGTAAAAAAAACCTCTAGAGGCAAAAGAAAAAAAAAACACAAATGTAAACGTTTAACATAAGAGTGGAACCTGGAAAGCTGTGATCTTTTTAGCTTGAGCTTTCTTTTTGTTTTGAAGATCAATATGGTTTGTTTGATCTAACTTGCAATCTGATCAATCATTAGAGTAAATTTTATTACCAACTTTATAGATAATTTAAGGTTAATAGACATTGTTTACAAAATAGAATAAGTCTTTCGCAAATATACCTTCTGCACTGTAAAGCCGACAATTCCCATTAATTGAACCAACAAATGCAGCCTACCAAAGAGAATATAGTTATATAGATATCAATACGCTCGTTGATGCACGTATATGTCAGTGACAATTCAAGAGAATTATGTACCTGACCATCAGGAGTGTAACAAACCGCAGTAACCATTTCCTTTAGATCATTCCATTCAACTACTTGACGGTTTGATATATTCCATATACGGATCTTGGCATCAAGGGAGCCACTGATGAAGTAATCTTCATCCAGTGGATTGAATTGCACACAAGTAACTAAAACCATAGAGGCAGACATAAATATTTAAAAACCATATGACATTTAGGGAATATGAGTATTTATGCATATTTATTTTCTTACCGTAGTCATTATGGGCAAACAGTTTTAGACAACTTTGTGTTTCAATATCCCACAACCGCACAGTTTTGTCCATGGAAGATGAAAGCAATAGCTGCATATTGAGTAAGCAATTTTTAACTTGTTAACTTTGTCAATAGAAATCAATGGCTGCATTCATAAATATTGGCAAGAAGGGACATAATAAACAAACCTGTGACCGTGACCATGATAAATCCAAAACATCATCCAAGTGACCGGTGAAAGAGCAAAGTGGTTTATCTGATAATGAAAACACAGTTTCAGGAGCATGGACGTAATCTGGTATCTGATTTCCTTTTCTATTCATTGAACCTTTCCCTTTCTTCTTCTTATCAGGTAGCACTTCTGCAGCCTCACCTTCTGTACATGATTTATCTGTAGAGCCAGACATGGATGGATGAATCGGTGTCAAGCTCCCTTCATTCATTGACATGATTTCACATTCTTGAACCTCCCACACATGGATTTTACAATCCTCCCCTGCACTTGCTAATAAATGTGCATCTGGACTAAACTTCATAGTCCAAATACCTCCTTGATGAGCTTGAATCTCTTGACACAAATGCAAAGCACTCAAATCTTTATGAGACTTGCCTGAATGCCTCACTTTTACCCATTGATTTGCTTGCTCATTGTTCTTTTCCACTACTTTTGGACTGCTTGTACCACTGCTACCACCATTTGAATCCTTGTCTTTCTCTGAAAGCTTAGAGGAGCTCATAGAATGAGCAACACCTTTTATGTTCTTTAACAAAGCAGCTCCTCTCTTCTTACTTACCCTCAAACTCTTTGACACATACGAATTAAATTTCCTAAAATCAAGTGTTGAATTTGCATTCTCTCGTCTCATAAGATCCTTAACAACAGATGAATATCCAACGCTTTTCTCAAATTCTTCCATTGTCAACTGTTTACCAGTTTGCAAATCACTAAGACGATTCCACATTCCATTCTCACCATACTCTTTAACGATGAACTCTTTCCCAGTATCAAGATTCTTAATCAAGAAAAAAGCGCTGAAACGAGTATTGGAAACTACGGAGGATAGCAACACTCCATTACGTTGCCCCTGAGACTGGTGGCCGTTTGGTGCGTTCTGCGGCGAGGCTTGCTTTTGGGTGAAGTAGGGGCAAATCCTCGCACACGGAGCTGCAATCGCAGACGCGGTTCTAGTTAATCGCGATTTCGAGGTTTTCCCTAACATATCTTCTTTCCTCTTTTTCTCAGCAGAAGACGCTTCGATATCGGAATCAGATCTCGACCGTACAAGCAAAACCGACATCGATGGAGATCGATGAACTCGTTGATCCACCGGAGAATTATGATCTAACTCCTCCACCTTCGATTCCGCAACGCGAGAACCTGAGGAGCACTCACCCGTCGCCGTCGCCGCCGCCGTCGTAGGTTCACTCACGCGCTGGATGGAGATAGTTCCAAGCATATTCTTCTTAGACTCAAGTCCCATTCCATTACGAAGCCGACGACGACGCTCCGTGATAGATCCCGGGGCCGACATCCAAATGTCATAATCCGGCGACATATCCGGCGCAGGAGCAGCGCGAGAGGAGGAAGATACGTTAGAGGAAAACGAGATCCGACAATCATCAAACTCACCTTCTTCCTCATCAGAAGATGATGCTAAATCCAAAGGCACAACGGTGGAGATACGATTAGAGCTATCGAAAAAGTGATCGTCGTCGTCTTCAACCTCGCCTAACCCCGCCCAATTCATCGTCATCGTCTTCTTCCTTTCCAATTTCCCGTTGTCGCCGCTTCGATTCGCCATTACTGTTCATAGGTTTAAGAAACAAACTTATCGCTTTTGTTTATTTTTTCCCCCCACCGATAAAACTCAAATTTTCTCTTTTTTTTTTTTTTGTTTTTTGGGGGATTTCAAACTCGTTGTTCCTTGGGCGTTGTTTGATTTTTTTGTTTTGGAGGGAGAGTAGTGGAAAGGAGAGAAACAAGGGATCCCTGCCATTCTTAAAATTTGTGGATACGTACAAATCAAAAGTAACACTTATGATATCCCATATGATCTGACGGTTTATAACTTGCCACGCGTTACTTTTAATATCCCATGACCTTTAAAAGTGAAATAAATCGTCACGTGTCAAACCCAACCCAATATATTTGATTATTTTCTTCTTCTTTTTTTTTTACATCCAATGACTTAATTAATAATCACTAATCAGAATATAGATCTTTGTTTACAAGCTATTTTAAAAAGTCTGGACTTGTATGAAAAAAAAAGAGTATTTTATGAATAAAAAAGACCAGAAAAAAGTTGACAAAAGCTTTTATGTGTTTTATGAAATCTGAACACAGTAAACAAATTAAAGTGTATATTAAACAGAAATATAGAATCGTATATGAAATCTGAACACAATAAACAAATTAAAGTGCATATTAAATAGCTTCGTATTACAAATTCAAGTTTACCAATAGAAATCGACAAAACGTTTTATGTGTATTATCGTCATTAAAAACCTTACATAAGAGAATATTAGAAAGGAAAAAGAATCCCTAGTTGTTTATAAATACTTGTGTTGGGTCCTAATCCTAACTTGATATGTAGTAAAAAGAAACAATTACTATAAAAAATTCCAAAATACTGAGCTCTTAACCCATGGGTTTCATTCTCAAACTCTTTGCTCTTATAATCTCATCCTCGTTAGTTCATTCCCGAGAAACTGTTAAAATTTGGAAAACTGTTAAGGTACATTGATATATAGTATGAATTATTGTCATTACACTTTTCATGTAAACTATGATATATATCTAACACATTTATTTGCATAGTTAAATGAGAAGATGATATATGACTGTGTGGATATTTACAAACAACCTTCGTTAAATCATCCACTACTACAAAATCACAAAATTCAGGTACTAATTTTTCATAAAAAATCCATTTATTAACCTTGTACATTTTTAAAAGCTTTCATAATTGACATATAAATTTGGCTGATTAATATTAAAATACAAATAAGCATATGGAATATTGTCTTAGATTCTCGGAATACTGATCAAAAAGTTTATTACGAATTTGATTGTAAAAATCACCTTTATTTCAAATAAAACTTTATTGTAGCTTTTATAAGTCCAATATCATTTCATCTGCAACATCACTAATTATATATATGGTGTGACAATATGACTATGTAGATGGAACCATCTTTTCCAATATCTAAATCAAAATATCAAGTTGAGAGAACAATCTCTAAGGAAATAATCGACTGTCCAAACGGAACAGTTCCTATATTAAGGAACACAAAAGAATATGTTACAAATGGTCAACATTTTGTTGGAAAACATTTCAATCCGTTTACAGTGGAAAGCCATGGGACACATGTAAGCACCCAGTTATATATGATTCTCAATATTCTACTTTTACTATGATTGTGTGTATGTATATTACACATTTTTAATCCTATTTTTAAGCTTGGAATCTGAAGTTTGCTGGAGTTAGACTTCAAGGTCACCGTCCTTTTCATGGTATGGCATCGTGGATAAGTGTACATGACTTAAACATTAGTCAGGACCAAGCTTCATATGCTCACTTATATGTTGGCAGTCGTGTAAACAACAAAGATAATTTTATTCCAACCGGTTGGATGGTAAAATATAATATTTTTTAAAAATTGTCAACATATTTTTTACAATAAATAATATGATTTTTAGTATTACACGTTTTAATTTGATTTATAGATAAACCCAAATTTATTCGGTGATAGACGCCCATGGGGTTATGCATTTTGGAAGGTAAATATATTGATACAATTGTTCTTAATTTACAATTTTTATACAAACCAAAATTCAGAATCTAATCTATAGCTATGAATAAATATAGGGCGCCAATGGAACAGGGTGTTACAATACAATGTGTTCCGGTTTTATTCAAGTGTCAAAAACAGATCCTCTAACTGGCCCATTCCCTGAAGCTCCTGAAGGTAAAAGAAACATTGGTTCTTCTATTCAAAAGGTAACTTATTTTTTTTGTTAAGATATTTGTACGATATAATGTTCATATTAACATATCATTTATAACATGCAAAATTAGTTTTGTGTGTATGTGTGTTTTTAATATACAGTATATGTCATATCTAATTGAATTTTTCTTCTTGAAATTATCTATTGAAGGATAAAATACATGGAAATTGGTGGATAACAGATATAAGATACAAAAAAGATGATGAACCTGTTGGTTATTGGCCAAAAGAACTATTTGATCTAATACCTAATGGTGTGAATATGGTTGGAGTTGGAGGAGCCGTCGAAAGTTCTCCTTCTTCCGGCATAAGCCCACCAATGGGTAATGGTCATCTACCAGCAAAAGACGATAAAGACGATATGGTTTCAGCTCGTGTTCAAGACATTCTAGTCTTGGATTCTAGTAAAAAGTTCAGAGGGATTGATTATTCTAAATTGGAGATTATGTTAGACAGTGAAAAATGTTATGGATTGAGAAGGGGGAAAAAACATTTATTTACTTTTGGTGGACCGGGAGGAAATTCTTGTGGAATATAACATTACAAAAATGAAATTCTATGTTTGGTTTATAATAACTAAAACAAGTATAAGATTAATAAAGTGAGCATAATAGATAATTCTATGTCAGATACTAATATATATGAATATCCACGTTTGTTGAGAAATTTTGAAAGAATTTTTATGCATTACAGATCCTTTCACCAAGAAATTAAAGGAAAGAAGAAGAAGAAGTTACGTAGCCAAAAAATACGAATCAAACTTAACTTAAACAGAAAAATAATTTTGTTGGTAATAATAACATGTAGGTTTTTTTATATAAGTGTCAACAAGTGTCAAGTAAAGAGTGATTTACTCTTACTTGTGTTTTAGTATTAGATCAGATTAGCTGTATTGGAAACTTTGACCATTTTGGTTGGATTTATTAATTTTATTGCCAGGAAGAGATCATTCTTGTTATTTTATTTTTGTTGCCAGGAAGAGATCATTATTTGTACAGTATTATTATTGCGGTTAGCTCCGACTCCGTTACAGAAAATGTTTAATATCAGAGAGTATTATCACACATGAATTTGGAAGAATATATGTATCTAATTAATTCTACGAACTTATGGAATTTAACTATATTCTTCTTGGATGATGTGCATCTTTTATTAACCAAGTTTAGACATGGCACGCACATAAAATAAAAGTTGGTTAACTATAATTAAATATTTAGTAATACTGTACATCCATCGATCATAACAAGGTGTACCCAAAGCAGGAAGCATGATCCATTACGAAGGATGTTTGCTTTCAGTGAAAACCTTTTAGTTTATTTTTTTCTTCGTGACAAATCTTAATTAGGTTTGTTTATATTTATTTATTTCACTGATAAAAAAAATAAGCCTTTAGTGTAATAAGACTAATCACGTAAATACCTAAATGCTGTTAACATGGGTAAATAAAAATAGTAAGACTACCTTCTGGCTTCTTGATAGTAAAAAAAGGTTAAGACCTAGAAGGAGCATATTGCTAAAATTATATTATTTTCAAAGGGGACAAAAATGAAACATGTCACAAGTCATATAATAAAAATTTGAAACTGGCAAAATTACATGATTTAGTTTGAAACCTTTTTTTTTTTTTGACCAAAGTTTTAAACTAAATTTATTTATTTATCTTTTTATTTTTTTGTGAACCAAAAACTAAATTTATATACTCAAGTTATTTTGAGCGACTCCCTTGTCGCATGTGAACATTTATATTAAAACTTTTAATTTTATATGAAAAACTATAGAGACATGCAATTAGATTGGTAGCCAATTACGAAAATAGAACTTAAATATGTTCATTTTCCTTCTGACGCAAATTACGAACAAAATTAATCAATTAGTACTATAAAAATCTGTTTATTGCTCTCCAAAAAATCAAACATATCAAAATCAAAAAGATTAATTTAGGAGTACTATACATGCAATGAAAACGTAAGTTAATGTTGAAATTGAAACTGAAGAAATTATTAATGTGAGCTTTGACTTTGTTTCAGTTGTATAAATCCAAATTAAATGACGATACACAATTTTCTTATTGTTGTTATTAGCTAATTAATTATACAGAAAATGAAAAAAAAAAACAAAAACAAAAATTCAAAGGATCAATTACCACCACACACAGTCATGAATTAGGAATGAACAACGATCACTACCAATAAAGGCAACAATCTTGGTCTCTCTCTTGTTTCTTATTGTTTCCGTGACTTCTTGATCCGACGGTCCAAATCCTCGAAGAACATCTCGATCTCACGGCTCAGATCAATAGGTATACGGTTAACAACATTAACCGGCGTTAGTTTTCGTTTCGCACCGGAAGACCGGTTTGGTTTAGGTTTTCTCGGAGCCGGAGGGCATAACGTATACGTCACCTCCGGAATCTTATGATCGGACGACGTTGGAGTCTTGCACCCATCTTCGTCGCTGACCGTTGGATCTTCATGATCAGGGAGATCTAATTCGGGTCGGATCTTCCCGACGTCTTCTTCTTCTTGGATCTCTTTGACACAGCAGATCTCTGCCATTAGACGACGAGTTTTAGAAAGAGAAAGAAAGAGAGCAAAAATAGAGAGAGAGAAGAGGAAGAAGAGAGAAGAGAGAAGAGAGAAGAGAGAGATTACGTGCGTTGGATCCGAAGCTTGAAAGCCTCCATTTCAACTAACTAGTGATCTGTCTCCCAAGTGGCGGGATTACATAAAAAAAAAAAAATGTTAATAATTTATTTGATTTCTTTTTATGATAATGTTCATTATATACGATACATGCATATATGTTTTTAATTATTTGGAGCAAGCTTGAAAAATAACTGCCTATTGAAAATCAAATATAATTTTTTGACACTAGCTAGTACAGTACATACGCATAATTTACAATGCTTTAACTTATGCACCTACATGAGTATAAGAATTAGGTCACTACCACAATTTTACAATCTGCATGCATGCAAGAAAATAACCAAAATATCAAGACTTATGGATCTTGCAAACGAATTATAATTGAGGATACACAAATATATATATTGAAGTTTTTTAAAATCTCTTGTAAAAGTATAAAAAAAAGAAAGCAGTATTGTGTTTTCTACATACAATAGGAATTAGCAGTTGACAAAATAAAACTAAAATACTTAATATATGAAGTTATTAATATATTAGTTCTTCCGATGATTTGATTAATCTTTATTGACTTTAAGAAGAATAATAACGATCTTGATGATCAGAAAAAAACATTCCGCTTTCTATACAACTTGGAGCATTTGTATTCCTATATTTGTAAAATAGTTTTTCTTTTCTTTTAATTAAATGAAAAATGGACATATCGATAAGAAACGAAAAGGTAAAAAAAATAATTTGTCTACAAACTTTGATGCAAATCAGACGCACGTGCCTATGCTTTGCATGGGGACCTGGCGATATATATTTTTGAAACTTCTATGTTTTGAGTTTCTCATGTTTCTTCTTCATCCGTTGTTGTCGTATACGATAAAAGAAAGAAAAAAAAAAATCCCAATATCGTCAAAACATAAATTTCTCAGATGCTTCCTTTATCGTGCACGCAAGTAATTGAATCACCAACTAATAATTGACTTCCCACTAATTTTTTTGTTTTGTTGATACTAGTCATTGTTCCTTTCCTTATCAGTCACGAATATATATAAGTATATAACTAATCTTTTTATTTCCTATATATATATTTTTTAAAAACTTGTTGCATATATAACCCTTGTCATGAATAGTAATATTTTCAAGCTAAACAAATTTACAACTTTGGATTCCTCGGCCGTAAAATGTGAACCACTTCAGATTTGGTAAACTTGCCATACCTCTCGAAACGACGACCACCAGAACCACCCTCCAATTCCAATTAAACAAGTTATGTCATTATAAAGATGTAAGTATATGATATATGATGTTATAAAAGCATATGACGATATTAATAAATTAGGGGATTAAGTATGGATTAAGTGAGTAAATTAATTAATTGAACGGGTTAGCAAAGGATAATGAAAGATTTCGCGACTAGGCATGTGGGGCGATGACTATACGCACATGGTTGATCATCATCATGTCCTCCATCTTTCACGTTTTGTTATATTCCTTTTCTTAGCTTAGTAATTTTTCATATATTATTTGGTCAAAAAATTTAGGAGAAAACAATTCTCAATATATCCAAGTACGAAATTTATGCTTCATAAGTGTAAACAGAACTATTAAACAAAGGTCATGAGGGAAAGTTGCAAACACACATGATCAAATAACATGTTTTCGCGTCGACCATTTTAATTGTCTGAATAATTAACAAGGTCGTACAATCGAAATTCACAAACTCTTAGAAAAGCATACACACTAACAACTTAATATATGACTCTCTAAGTATCTATGCTATTATCATATACTAGCTTAATTTTAACCGAAAAGGAAAAAGAAGAAGAGAGACTATAAGCCTTAATTTACAAGATATTTGTACCACAAAGAAACTATTAACCAGGGTTTCCCTGAATTGATTATACTGATTAAAATTATATTTATGCAGATTTTTCGTTTCCTAGTTACAAATACGTAGCTCGATAGTTAACGTAATCGAAGTACATATGTATCGATATAATAATTCAAGGAGGGTTTGGTTTCTCTCTTTTTATATAGCAAAGGTGGTGTGCTTTTTACACATGGAGAGATAAGAAAATGAGATACTTTATGACATCAACGGATGCTGCTTAGACATATTTGAATCAAAATATCCCACATGCAAATTTTGGGACCATTTTCTTTTTTTTTACTTGGTTTTACCCACTCTATCCAATGACCATCATCATCAGTAACAAACTAGTATATATATATTATTCACCTCCCTAAATTACTTACTGGTTAAAACGCCCTCGAATTAATCACACTACTAAGTGAAGATCATTGTGAATTTATGCAATTATACTAGTTGTTATTTAGCTCTACATTTGTAAACAAAGTAGAAAACAGCTTACTTATGGTGCTTACCTCAAAAAGTACTCATAATATAAACCAAAGTCAAAACGTATAGTATAGTAAATTAAGATAAAGGTTGGGATCTGGGTCCAGAGATGCTTTCATTATCTCAAAAGCTTTATTTTGTGATTCCCACATCTTTTAATAAAAATCGCTTTGCAGTGTATATTCTTAAGGACATGAGACAGCTTTGTTGTCTATTTCTGTAGTAGGACATGCTTAGTCAGTCTAGTTCCATTAATTATTATAAAGGACCATTTATAAAAAGAGAAAACAAGTTGTACATTGTTTACATGGAATTTTGTATTGCACAAGTCGTAGATGCGTTTTTCTGGTTCTATATTATAGGTTTGTGCAAAGAGTTTCAATCTCAAATTTATACGGGTAAATTTGTAGACTAAAACTGAAAACAACTCGATAACGAAACTCTTAATACCTATATAGAACTATAGAAGAACTAATAAGATGTGAAATTGCCTCGAGATAATATGGTGATGATTTCAAAATATCGTTTTCGTTGTAGAATAATGCAAACTTATTCGGAGTCAAATCTAACTATATCAGCGGGGCATTATTACCTAAAAAAAGAAAGACACACACAGCTGTGCTTATCAATTATAAAGTGATCATTGATCTACTTAGCATGAACGAGACTAAAATTGTCAAAATAACAAAGCGACGAAAAAATCCTTTATTGAAAAAAAAAAAATCCGAATAAACCACCAAAACTTTGAGGCCTTAATAGCAATATCTACGTTTTAAGGTACCAGAATTATAAATATATATAAATACAGGTGTTTCTCATTACAACTGAATTGGGCTTTAGTAAAGGCCCAATATTAAAATGTTGACTCCGATTTGACTCCTCCCGAGTTTTTTCTCCCGATGAAATCTCACCGTCTTCTTCAGCTCGCTCACTAGATTTCTTTTTTTTTTTTTTTCCGGGAAAATTCGATTTTCATTGTGAACTATTCCACTAAACAGTAAAACCCCATGATTGATCCGCGAATGCAATTCGGATGATTTGGATCTGATTGTTTTTTTCTTTTCTGGGAACAAGAGAAAAAGATGGGGAAAATAGCCGTTGCAGCTATAACGAGCTTATGGGTGATTCCAATGTCGATCATCGTCAATCACATTGTTCCGGAACCTTACATGGTAAAAAAAATCCCCTTTTTAGAACTTGGGTTCTTCAATTTAGTCTGTGAAGCACTCTCTATCTCTCTGATTTGTTTTGATTACTGCAGGACGAGATATTTCATGTGCCTCAAGTCCAGCAGTACTGTAATGGGAATTTTAGGAGCTGGGATCCAATGATCACTACCCCACCTGGATTGTAATACTCTCTTCTTGAATCATCACCTCAAGTAGTTTACCTTTAAAGTTTGGATTTTTCATTCATGCTAATTCTTATTGTTATGCTTCTTTAAGCTCTTGTTACTTTAAGCTTTTGCAAGGTGACAATTTAACATGTTTAGATCTTTTGATTTGCAAATATTGATGTATATGCAATTCTTGCAGGTACTATATTTCGCTAGTACATGTTGCTAATTTGTTTCCAGGAATAATGTTGATGAAAAATACTACTCAGTCTCAGTCCTTTGCTGAAGCTTGTTCTACGTCTGTCCTACGGTCTACAAATGCTGTTTTTGCAGTATTGTGTGGAGTTCTAGTGTATGAGATAATCAGTTTCCTGGGGCCAAATCTCAGTGATAGAAAAGCAACTTTTATGGCGGTAGTTATGTCGCTTTACCCTCTCCATTGGTTCTTCACTTTCCTCTACTATACAGATGTTGCCTCTCTAACTGCAGTTCTTGCCATGTACCTCGCTTGTTTGAAGAAAAGATATATGCTCAGTGCATTGGTAAGTAATTTGAAGCAAACTAGTTTTGATTCTGTTAGATCTGAGAATTTACTAGCATTTAGGCAAATTTAATTCGGTTTTGTTCTTGCAGTTTGGCACTTTAGCAGTTTTTTTCCGACAAACAAATGTAGTCTGGATGCTTTTCGTTGCTTGCTCAGGTGTAATAGACTTCACTCTTGACTCAACGAGGCAAAAAGAGAAAGAAAAAGTAAACCAAGAATTGCTTCAGGCGAGTGATAGGGAAGGAGCAACTCTGAGATCAAATCTTAGAAAAAAAAGACCTGATAGCAGTTCAGACCATTTTAACCACGGTAAAACTGTCTCTTTTACAGAGGATACTTCAGGTAGGCTGCTTTACATGTTTTGTTTATAGTTTGGAAAATTTATTGCTAAGCATAAATGTTCCTCATCTCTTACAAAATCGAAGGTGAAAAATGCAGGCCTACTCTATGATACTTATGCTGTGATTTCAACATCTTGGAATATGAAATGGAGGCTTTTGGTCAAATTTAGCCCTTTCATCGTCGTTGTGGTACTGTTTGGTATATTTATCCTCTGGAATGGGGGTATAGTCCTCGGTATGTCAATTCATTTTACATATTTTCTCGTCAATAAGGGAATTGGTTCTGGATTTCGTTAAAATGGAATTTATGAGTCACTTTACTGATCAATCACCTCAAATTCACAGGTGCAAAAGAGGCTCATGTAGTTTCACTACATTTTGCGCAGATAATGTATTTTAGTCTTGTCTCTGCTCTATTCACTGCTCCTCTACATTTCTCAGTAGTTCAACTGAGAAATCTGTTTCAAAAGCTCCATAGAAATTGGCCCTTAAGCATGCTACTTAGTCTTGTAGCTCTAATAGCCGGATTTGCCTCTGTACACTATTTCAGGTTTGGTTTATTGACACCTCTCAAAACGCCTTAAGCTCGTCTACTTCAAACTCTCAATGTCTTTGTTTTTCTGAAAATTATATGTAGCTTGGCTCATCCATATCTTCTGGCCGACAATCGCCATTATCCCTTCTATCTATGGAGAAAGATTATCAACTTTCATTGGTCAATGAAGTACATGTTAGTCCCGGTTTACGTCTATTCTTGGTTCTCAATCCTAACTTTATTAGGTATGTTAAAACCGTCTCCTGTAGTATAATGTGATTCTTAACTTTTTTCCTATTTTTTGGCATTGTGAACCTGACTTATTCTTCCTCAATCTGATAGCGAAAACTCGAAGAGATATCTGGGTAATGGTCTATTTCTTAGCAACATGCGCTGTTCTTGCTCCCACGCCATTGATCGAGTTCAGATATTACACCATTCCGTTTTACCTCTTCATGCTTCACTCTTGTGTCAGAAGCAGCAGCTTCACCGCTTGGCTTCTCATCGGAACTATTTTTGTCTCTGTTAATGTGTTTACAATGGCAATGTTCTTGTTTAGACCGTTTAAGTGGAGCCATGAGGATGGCGTCCAAAGGTTTATATGGTAGGGACAAAGATTTATTACGCTCATTTGATGTAACCAGCTGTTAGGCCTAAGAAACTGGTGAGTTCATGATATTTTCTGTTGTGCTAAAAACATCAGTTTTAAGGTTGCTTTTAGTAAAACCGATTGCAACAGTTCCGCATTGTCCTCGTCTTGAAACTATAGCCACATGGCAAAAACAACATATGTAACGGTAAAGTATTATGTAATAGTCATCAAATTAGGAAAGTGGTTGGTTTATGTGAGAATTTAAGTGACTCAATGTTGAAGAAAATTTCCAAAGTCATGGGAACAAGTCTTTTGAGATCTGTTAGAAACTCAAGTGTGTTAATTTTTTTCTTTTGATCCAGTCCTATTGTTTTAGTAGTTTTACCAAACTTAGAAAAACAGGAGACAGATATTTTGAAATTAAAGTAAGTTAACCCTAATCTGCTCGGATTAGTTTTATTATTGAAACAAATACTTTTTAGACAGCTATATAAAATTTGCAGGTCGACAATGATAATCGCAGTAATCCTATATATCCGTGACAGATGAAAAAATGTGAATCTGATAACATTTTAAGAATTAGACTATGATTTCCTCAAAGTGACAAATAGAAAGAAAACTTTGTAAAAGTAACATTTTGTATGTTTCCTAGAAAGAAAAAAAAAAAGAGAACCAGAATACTTGTTTGTGAAAGTAAAAGAAGATTGACTGAGGAAGTCTGGGAACAAAAAAAAAATACTTTAATAGATTCAAATATGTGAATACAAATTCGATAAGTTGGATAAAATATTATGTCAAATGAGAATTTTATCTAACCATTTGGGATCAAAACGCGTCTTTCGACTTTTTCAGAGATTATAACAAATGGCAACCATTAGCTACAGCTTATAATTCACAGGATTTTGAATTGTTTTAATCTTATAATATAGTTTCTGAGGTATTTATAAATTGAATATTAGACTTCTGATATGAGGAAGTATTTTCTGATAAAGACACCCCAAAAAAATGTGTTCATGTATAAAATTAAATATCGTCCAACTCGTGGATTGGTTCAAAAATTTACTATAGAGTATATACATCTTTTCGAGTAATATTGACATTTTAAAGATCTTCTGCATTCTAACGTGCTAGAAACTAATAAATGGTTTATGATAAATATACAAAATACAAGGAGTAAATCTCCATATAACCCAAAAGGTCAAAGGTATAAAGATTTTCACTAAATTATATAGGATAGAACATATGAAAAAATTAGGAGAATAAAAACTTTAAATCGGAAAAAAATCAAGCCGAGTTATTGTTATTAGTTCTTCAAATGATTCAAATTCATGGAAAAAGAAAAAAGAAACAATAATATTTACATTGATGATCTCCATATTCTTCCTTCAAGTGAGATCACTATCACAGAGACATCATCGTGATACCTCCGACGATCTCCTTGCGGTATCTCCAACAATTCATGAAAATCCATACCTTAAATGAACCCAAAACAAAACAAAAGATAAGAACTCAACACTATAAAATACCGAAGTTTAGGTTCTTTTTTATCAGGAAAAAATATATATTAAATTTCTTACCAAATTTGTTGGCAGCACGAAGGAGGACTTCTTGGATTAAGTGTTGAGCTGGATCGCCTTCAGGAAAAGCAGAGATGAAAGATTCAACCTCGAAAATGGCTTCTTGGTTAGAGAAGTATTCATACAATCCATCAGAAGAGAGGATTAGGAATTTGTCACGTGACGTTAGCTTGTGGTGACACAGTGATGGAGAACATGTGATGTATGGTGATGTCCCAATGTAGTCTATCCTGAACATCTCTAATAGTGCATCGTTCCATTTAGGCTGTGCGGGCAAAAACAATTTAAGCACAATTAGGTTAGACTAAGTTTTTGGTACGAGGATCAGTACACATGAAATTTAACGCTTACAATCTTGAGTGATCTTATTACCTGTTTGAGAAATCCAGCTCCAAATGCACGAGTGACCTTAAGATAACCTTTAACTCTATCATTCTCTACCGCACTATCATCATCAGGATGTTCCCTCTTGATTCTTCTCACTTCCTGTCCTCATAAAACACAAAACCCATCAGTTTCTCATTTCAATTAACGCAGAAACTTTGTGATTCTTTTGTTTACCTCTTCAATTCTTGTGCTATGTTCCATGTTAAGCTGTAGAGGAACCAAAGTATTACGCATGGCTCCATTCATCAAAATTTCTCGATCTTCTAATGAACTGTCTTCTTTAATTCTCTCCAACTCTTTTTGCCTTTTCCTCCCGGTGGCTAAATTAGGTTTCCGGCCTAAAACCGCTCGACTATCCCCGACATTCATCACATAAACATCTTCTCCTTTCATCAGTGTCACGAGAACACAAGATCCCATCAACGCCAATTCTGGATTCTCTTTGACCATTTGATCAGCTAGCTCTAGATAGGCCTCTTCAGTTTTCCTCAGCGCTTGTAAAAGAGCTTTAAGAACATCTTTATGGTTTGTTGTCGTCGAGTTTGTTCCTTTCTGATCACATTTGGTATCAGGTTTGGTCTTGTTGTTTGACTTATTCTCCCATTCACATCTCCATTTCACACTCTTCTCTTGGTTTCTTGCACCGGAAGCAACTGCATCATCACTGTTTACCACAGGGCAATTCTCTTTCCCCGAATCGGAGTCTTCTTCATCGGAACACTTTCTCATCTGCGTCTCGCCGTTTTCTCCTAAAGACCTAACCTTTTCGTCGTTCCAAAGTAACCCATTAAGCTCCTTTTGAACGGCGGTGTAGAGATTGTTGAGGAGATAATCCGGCGCATCTGGACCACTGAATCCGTCGTAGATTCCGACAAAGACCCATCCGTTGTCTTCCGATACAACCACGTGTACACGATCCTCCCCTGCTTTCCCCTGAGCCCATTGAACATCCAAAACAGAGTCAACACTCTGTTTTTCATCTTCTTCTTTACCTTCTCCTTCAAGATGAGATTTAGGGTTTTCGTGGCTTCTTGAGGAACTGATCACATGTTCATGATGATGATCGGACTCTGATGAATCAGAACCGTTGATCGGCTCGATCACACTCTTCTTCAAGCGAGGTTTGTTGTTAGAGATTAGATTCGTGAATAGTGTTTTGAATGTGAGAAAGTTCTTCTTCGATTTGTGTTTTTTCGATGAAGCTACTTTTCTTCTCATCTTCTTCGGTTTCTCTTTCTCCGTATTCTTAGTCGCCTCCATCGGACCCGAATACAACCCGCTTTCGATCGGACCCGATAAGAACCGTCGCTCAAACGGAGCTGACCCGTGACCCGTTTCGTTAGCAATCGGACCGGATTGCCACGTGGCGCCACGCGGCACGGGTTGGAGAGGGAGAGAGGCGAAATTACCAGAGCTCTCGAATGCAGATGCGGAGACGGCGGAGCTGTACTGACAATCTGAATCCGAAGACAAAGCTCCGGAGAGCGCCGTAGAAGGATTCGCGCTGACCGAGGCGCCGGAGATTGAACGGAAGGTGGTGGTGGTGGTTTCAAGAATAGGTTCTGATTGGAGAGGAATCTCCGGCGAAGAAGAGGGTAGTACTACACCGGTGAGATCCGGTCGTATGTAGCAAAAAGAGTGGCCAAGTCCATCGTGAACAAGAGCTACGTCGTATCGCCGGGAAATTTCTCCGGCGACGGTTCCTGTACAGCAACCGGTCAAAGTGGTGACACCATTCCCCATTTGTTGAAGAGAGTTGAAATTTGAAACGAAGTCGTTTTATCTAGCCACTTGAATTGGTATGGTGTCGTTCATAGAACAAGAGAAGATGGTGTGAATGAGTTTGGTTCAATTTTTATGTATGAAGTTGGAACCAAATGAAGATTGAAGAAGAAGAAGAAGAGACAGAGTCACATACATAAGTTATAGAGAGAGAAAGAGAGAGAGAAAAAGAGAAGAGTTGACTTTGAGAAGTTTATTCTCTTATTAGGGATTGGTTTATTTTGTTATTCTAATGGTTTAGTGGAATTAGTAAAATTATACTAGTATAAAATACTTTTTAGCCAAAAAGCTTTTCTACTAATTTAAATAAGATTAGTTTGATTTTAGTTCAGATGTTATTTTGTGTTTGATAACATCTTTATTTTCTTTATTTTCAGTTTTGGTTCAGGTCTTTGTAACAAGTCCAAATTAAAAAGATACTGTATGGTTTTTGTAAGGTTGGAACACACTTAAAATTTTTCTTTTCAAACTCAAAAGATAAATTCAAAGCCTCTCTGTTAACATTCTTATTCGGGAATCGGGAAAGCTCTCTATCTATCCGATTTGGTTTGACTAAACCAACGTGCAATATTAAAGAAATAAAAACTAAATTGTAATGCACGAAAGAACACTTTAAAAAAAAAAAAGATGTTTTTTGTACGAAGGAGTTGACTTTATGAAGGAAGAGTGTGGTTGTTTTGTAAGCGATTAGTAAAATAGAGTTATTAAAGTATTAAGAATGGCAAAAAGTCAAATGACTTGATAATGTGTTGAATCATAAATACTAAAAAAATTCCCATTTTGGGAAGGAAAATGGAAAATACGTTACTTGTTTATCATTACGTCCTAAAAGAAAAAAGAAAATCCTCCATATTTTACGAATTTAAAATTTGACATTTCTCGTAAATAAATCACATAATATAACGAAATTAATCTAAAACAGAAGAATAATTTCGAGATTCATAAACTAAGCAAAATTAGCAGCTATCTGAAAAAGGCCGGAACTCTAATGGGCTTTATGAAGTATTGGGCCACATAATTATCTGATGGGGGAGCTATCTGAAAAGGGCCATTAAATGTAATAAGCTATAGGAGTTTTGGGCCACATAGTTATCAGATGTGGGAGTTTATTCCTTTTTTCGTTTTTTAATATATAATAAATAAAGAATAATAAAAAAAATTCAAGAAACGGCAAATATTCTGAAAAGTTAATGTTACGCACGGCTTGGTTCTGCTGCTTTCTTCTCCTTTTCTCTTTCCCCTCTCTCTCTTTCTGTCTCCCGCCATGGCTATGACCACCGAGAAGAACATTATTATGCTCCTTCCAGAAAGATGTCTCCACAAGGTAACGTCATTTAACTCACGTTTCTTCATCTCGTGAATTATATTTTACGTTACGCCGTTTTGTTTTTGTGTTTGGGATCATGCCTCTTGCGTATAAACTTAACAACGTTTTTGATTGGATCAGACCTGTCTTCCAATTTGAAACTTACATGTATGTATGTATGTATTACCCTAATCGGTTCATGCTACACTCACAATCTGGGTAATGTAAAGGTTGATGCTTTTTTGGAAATTCTAGGTCAATTCAAACCTCTCACCTTAAGGATAAAAGATAAAAGGCTCATACTTTTTGGGAAACTTGTTCTGTTTTTTTCCTTACAATTTAAATTTGTCGTTGTTGCAGGAGATTGATTGCTGTCTTTTTATCGCTTAATGTTTTGATTTCAGGTTTGGTAAAATTTTAGCGTGAGTGAGTTTTATATTTTGTTTTGATTTCACAACTCACACCAATGGGGAAGAACTTGCGTCACAAAGTAACTTGCTCCCCAATCCAAAACCACCCTGGATTCATGTGGGGACTTTTTGACATCCTTAAACACAACCACTGGCGCTACATCAAGAAACGTCTTCCTCACAAAAGACCCATCTGTAGAAGAAACCTTCCTGGTAATTAATTGTCTCTCACCACTTTTATTAATGTCGTTTTCTTCTGCTCTCGTGCCTTTTAGTGTCTTGTCTTCTCAGTTATGAATTTTTAAAAGAGAACAAACACACTTTATAATCTTGAAATTGGATTTGATTAAGCTCAAGTCATGGCTCTGTTTCATCTTCTCAGCTCCTTATTTTCATATACTTATATGATGAGGATCCTATCCTACAACTGTTTATATATGTAACAATTTCCGTGCTTTCTACTTATTGCTTTCAGGAACAAAAAACGAAGTAAACAACACAATACCATCACCAGATGGTATTCCCCTATCCAAGAGCAAGGTGGAAGATAAAACAGACGATGTAGTAAGTTGATCTAAACTGAATATGCATCAGTTTAGTATCAAAGCCACTCCTAAATCATAAAGGCAGATTCTTATTCACTCTCTCACATCCATCTGTTTAATTCCTCCAGGAATCTGGGCAAAGACCAAAGAAGCCTAGTTCTACAGTAAAGTCTAAAGAGTCTAACTCAGGGGAGAAAATAAAAAAGAAGCACAATTCAGAGGACAAGTCGAAGAAACTTAATTCAGAAGAGAGGTCTAGGAAAACACATTCTGAAATCAAAAGGTCTGTGAAAGCTTTGATTAAGGCACTTGTAATAGAGGACAAGTCTAAGAGGAAAGGCCGTCATCACCGTAGCTCTACCTATCCTGTCCAGTCAAAGCCAAAAGAGAAGGAGTCATTGAGTGAGCTTGAATCTTCAGATAAGACTTCGTCATCAAACAGCGATGATCGTAACCGAGTCTTTAACAAGACGGTTGGCATTTCACCTGCCATTGGCTCGTTGAACCCGCTTTATCTCATGTCTGAGGAATCAAGCAACAGCGACAATGAGGATTTTAGGGTAGAGAACAACATTGCAGTTGATGATACTGATGGAAGTAAATCAGACTTTGATGAAAAAGATTCCAAGAATAAGGAGAAAAGCATCGAGGAAGATGCTTGGTTTGACCCAAAGATGAGACACACCAAGGACTTCTCAGAGAATGAGGATGATACGTCACCTAGACGTTCAAAAGCTTGCCTTGATGCTCTCAATCTGATACACATGAATAGAAACTTCTTGTTAAAAGTTTTGCAGGATCCAGGTTCTCCTCTAGCCCGGCATTTCCAGAGTCAACAAGCTTTTAGCTCCAAAACAATGACTAAAGCCGGATCCTTTCCTACTCATGGTAGAAACAGAGAGGATCATAATAATGGGTTTGACTCGGTGGGAGATTTAGATAAAAAACCAACATCTCCTTCCATAGCTGCAGAAAGCAGAGCTGATGGGATTCAGAACTTGAATGAATCAATGTCGAAACTGGTTGATGAAGATTCATCTGCCTCTGGTTATGCAAGGAAGCGAGGTAAGAACCAAGTGGTGATCAAACGTTTCAAGGATCTAAGGCAGAAGATAAAACATGTGATTCACGAGAACAAGAACGAGAAGCACCGTATCACTATGGATGCTGTTTTAGACAAAGTACCTCGAAAGTATGGTTTTTCGAAAGATTTGAGACACGACATTTTCGCACAATTGAAAGGAAACTCTGCAACTAAGAACAACAACAAAGCAGAAGGCGCGAAACTGAAGCAAATAAGAAGAACTTCGTCTCTCTGTGGATCGCTTGACAGATACCTTCAGCTGTATGAGTGTAGCTTCCAAAGAGAAGGGAAGAACAGTAATAACAATTCAGAGAAATCAAAAGTAGAGTCTGAGGAATCCGCGTTACCTTCTAATAGAGCTCCTAAATTCTTGGGAAGGATACTCTCATTACCTGAAATGAAATCTTATGCTTTGAAGATTGATGACCTTCCAGTCCAACCAATCGAGGAAGAACAAGATGGCTTGGGAAACATTTCAGAGATGTCAGAAGATCACTCTGAGTCTTCTGAACATGAAACTCTTGAACAAACACTAGATGCTGCTGAGGATAATCTTGAACAAACTCTTGAAAATCCTACTTTAACGATCGAGATAGAACAAGAAAGAGAACTAGAAATATCTACGCTTGAGGACTCTGAACCCGAAACAAGATCCTTAAAAGAATCATCAGAAGAAAGCCCTGATAATGTTTCTACAGTTGTTTTTGATGAGTATCCTTCTGTACTTGACATCTCTCGAGGTATGTATATATCTTTAACATTCAATCATTACTCCCTATCAAATGTTTTTTTGGATGAAATTGACAAAATATATTCTTTCTTGTTCGGGTGTGTACAGAGAAAGATGCAGACACAGAGAATGTCTCAACAAGCAAACAATTAGACGAAGTCCTCAATATAGATGCACAAGATAAAGTTAAGTTCAACTATGTAAGAGACATTCTCGAGATCTCAGGTTTCAATGCACCAGAATCTCTCTCAATGTGGCAATTAGATTACCAGCCGCTAGATCCATTAGCCTACGAAGAAGTGACAACAACCTCAGGATGTATGTTCCAAGATCCAGAGTGTTCAAGAAACGAAGAAGAAGGCGGTAACTGCAACCACTTGCTTCTCTTCGACCTAATCAACGAGGTGCTAATAGAAATATACGAAAGGTCTTACCATTATTGTCCCAAACCGTTATCGTCCCTATGTAAGATACATCCAATGCCGGTGGGCTATAGCGTTTTGAAGGAGGTTTGGGTTAGAATAAGTTGTTACTTGCGGTACAAGCCAGACTGCGAACAAGAATCGTTTGATAAAGTTATGAGTAGGGATTTGTCGAGAGACGAAGGTTGGATGGATTTGCAGTTCGAGAGTGAATGTGTTGGGATTGAAGTTGAAGATTTGATCTTCGAAGAGCTTCTAGAGGAATTGCTTGTATCAGGTTAAGAAGCATTTCAAGAACTCATTTCTTCCTTTTTTTGGGGTCTTGTTTTGCTTGGATTTTAAGGTACATAAACGAGAAAGATTGGTTTTTGTTGTTGTTTGTGATAAAATTTGGTGTAAAAGAGATTTTAGGGAAAACCATGTGTTAACATGAGTGAGGATTTAATTTTTTTTTCTGGAGTATGCATAGTTTTGATAACAGAACAATTTTTCAGGTCAGTGTGAAAAACTCCGGGATAAATAATTGTTTTGTAGGAGTAGTAAACAAAAGCCCGTCTAGCTCAGTTGGTAGAGCGCAAGGCTCTTAACCTTGTGGTCGTGGGTTCGAGCCCCACGGTGGGCGCTTCTTTTTTTCTAAAGCAATTTTAGAATTTTCAATTACAAGTGTTCATTGTAGGTCTTGGCGACGTGTAAACCCCGAAACTACTACATTAGTATCATCTCTTTTTTTTTTTTTTTTTTTTTTGTATTCTTTACGTAAGTTCTTTAACTCACACACGAGAAAGAAAAGACAATCCGTTCAAATAAGAGATAGATACTCTTTTTTTGCTTTTAATAGAACAAGACTTATCGACACACTGCATGATTCCCATATGGATGGTTCTCCTATTTTCAACATTACTTTTTAATATTTGGAGACGTATGAGAGAAAGGAGAGATTCGATTCGAAAACCCACATAGAACGGACAAGGTTAATAATAGACCCACTTTTTTTTTTTTACATTGAGAGAGAGAACCCATCCATCATCTCTCAAGTTGATTCATCTTTTTCTCTGTACTCTCACTTCACCCTTTTTACAAAAGTCATTGAAGCCAAACTTTGTAACACTACTTTACTTTATCAACAACAATTTGTTTTTCTTTCTTTCCAATTGGATAAACCAAAGTGAAGTGATGCATTTATCTAAATCCTAAACTAATCTCTCATTATTATTTATTTATGTTGGTCAAAAAGATAATTAAGGATAAATGGTTTATGGACAAAAGAAAATTTATATGTTAAAACTGTTATATGGAAATAGATTAAACAATTGTAATTTATTTTTAAGTTTTGGTAGATAGAAGATGAATAAAGTAAAATTTATAATAAAATAAAAAGGTTTTAGTAGATTGTTTTGGTCATTGAAATTAATAATTTTCCTAATTGTAAAAGTAGTGAAAGTCAAAGATTTTGTCAGATTTTTATGTAAACAGCTTTATTTTTACAAAATTTCTCCATACTCTAAATTTCATTTGTCTGTTTTAGTGGAAAAAGGGGTAAAATTGAAGCTTTGAAGAACGATTATTTAGGGGAGGTGATAAGAGTGGACTAAGATATTTGACACGTGGACGGTCCATAAAATCCTAACTTTGCCTATAAATATTGAAGCTCTTCCTCTCATAAGTTTCATTCACTGATTTTGAGTTGTTAAATTATAAAAATCATCTTCATCAATTTTCTGAGATCTTTTCGAATTTTCTAGAGAAACATGTCTTGCTGTGGTGGAAACTGTGGTTGCGGATCTGGCTGCAAATGCGGCAATGGTTGCGGAGGGTAATTAATATTTTCTCGTCTCTCACGTTTTTCTCTTCTTTCTGTTAATTTTCTCGGAAATTCTCGAGAAATTCTGTTTTTGTCTCGAGACCTTTATTTATTTATTTTTACAATTTTTTTTTGCTCCTAGATCACATAATTCTAAATTTTGGTTAATCTGACACACGATCGCTGTTTTTTGTTTTTGGATTTGTACAGTTGCAAAATGTACCCAGACTTGGAGAGCACCACCACCGAGACGCTTGTCCTCGGCGTTGCTCCGGCCATGAGCTCTCAGTACGAGGCTTCCGGCGAGACTTTCGTCGCCGAGAACGATGCCTGCAAGTGCGGATCTGACTGCAAGTGCAACCCTTGCACCTGCAAATGAACAACTCCTCCCATGAACCCTAAACCCAGTGTCTTGTCTGTAATAACCCTAATGTTATGTTAGGTTTCGTTATGTGTAATAATGGCTTATTTCGCCGGTAGTTTTACCGGAGAACGTTGGTCTTTCTTTCTTCTTCGTCTTTTGTGTGTCTTCTGGTTTGGTCATTAAGATATCTCTGTAAGTTTTATCAATGTGACTTTATAAACCAGAACTGTTATGGGTTTGTATTTGAGTTAAGTTTCAGTGAGAAACTTTAAAGTTTGCTTCTTTCTCCCTCGGTACACGTTTAAGATCAAGCCCATGTCTCTGGTTACAAAGCTTAACAAACAAGATCAGACAATAATGAAATTACTCCACATACAAATACAATACACAAGCTCTTGTTGCTAGAGACAAACAACTAAGGTGTTGTTGAAGCAGAAGAAACTGGCTTTTCAAGGATTCCTTCAGTGGCTCTTTTGAACAAGTTATGTACCTGTCTTGAGGTGAAACCGATCTTCTCTAAATCAGTAAGCTGTTGAAAATTCAGACATTTGGTTAGTAGATGAAGATAGGTTAAGCTTTCCCGAGAAGATTGAGGGGGAGAAGAATGAATGAATGTATTACCGCTTTTAAAGGGCTTGATTCTCTGAGTTCAGTAATGTAGTCAGCCATCTTATCTCCAATTCCCTGAGAAAAAAGTTTGAAACAGAGTTCTGTTTTAGTGAAACCAATAATGGAAGCAGAGATTTTTAAAATATATTTTGCTGCTTGCAAGGTTCACAAAAGTACCTTTAACTCCATTAGCTCTTCTCTGTGTGTTCAAGAATGAATAAATAAATGAAGTTAGTGTGATCTAAGTGTTAGGCAAGCAGATGAAACTGGAGGCTATTATTATTACCTGTTGGCTGTGTTCAAGAAGTGAATGTACTCATTCATGAGAGACGTCTGTGAAAAGAAAAAAAATTCGCAGAAAGATCAGATTTCAAGTTCTTTTTAACCTAAACCATGTTTTAAGAAATGATGATACCTTTAAATTAGTGCTCCACGCATTGAACTTCTGGCAAGTGCCTTCCCTCTGCCTATTTTCAGGGTTTGCGGAAAGAAAAGGTGTTTTTGGGGTCATTGGCTTCAGAGTAGGAGAGCTTCCATCTGTTAATTTTGGTTTTGCATTGGAGTCTATCTGAGACAGAGCTTCACGAAGAGGACTCAGCTCAGTATATTTCTTCTCGAGGTCCAATGGGTTATCTAGAATAAACGCACACCAAGGTGATGAGAAAAAGAAGATGTCAATTTTTTTAAAAATAAGGAGCACAAGAACGCAAACCTTTCAAGCTTGCTTCTAATACCAATAGATTCTCTTCGCCAGATGAGTTTCTCTCATCTTCTTTGTTTAGAGAATCTAACTGCAGGTTCTGTATAGGTTCCTGGATGTTCAAAGAACTCAATCACTTATAACTCTTCCTATTTTGTAGGTGGAGTATAACATATCATACATGGAAAATGAGGTTATATCGATGTTTTTGCTTAATGAAAGCAGAAGAGCGTACCCATAAATGTGAAGCAGCAAGAGTTTCCTCACCAAATAAGTTCCTTGCGGTAACAAATGCATCCCTGCACATGAATAAAGTATGAGGTAAGTGGTTGTAGGATGTAGAACAATTAAGAACTGAATCATTCGAAGGGTTACCTCTGTCCTGTGCCAGCAAATGTAGCACCTGCAATGGCTGATCTATGACAGACGGATTTCTTGACCGAGCTATGATAAATTGAAGTTTGATTTGTACTTGACAGGGGAGAACGTATTGCCATCATTCTATGCGTGCTTTTCGTCTTGCCTTTTGATTCAAGCCAAGCTTGCAGCTTTGCTTCCATATCTACCTTAACCTTGGGGGTCTCTGCCTTGAGATTCAAAGAAACATTGTTTGAGATGTGCCTTGACCTTGCAGCCAAGCTAACAGTGCGAAGAGATTCTTGGTATTCTCCAGGATTCTAAACAACAAAACAAAACAAACAAATAAATTGATCACATTAGTCACTTAGGATACATATCCTGATCAAAGCAATGAATCATACTTAAGATAATTCTTCATCTTCCTACCAGACATGCGACCATGAGAGCCCTACTTGTTCCACCAAGTGAATCCTGCAGTATTCTAGTCAATTTGCTTTCCCTGTAAGGCACTCTTGGTAGGTTATTATTCAGTGCATAAACCACATTGGACAATGCAAATAATGACTGATTAATTTTGGCACTCTCTTGTAGACGGATTCCCTCATTGCCTGTCCTTCTATTGTCTTCGTTACCTGCATAAGCCAAGGAGTTTTTGTTAATACTGCAAAGAACATCTAATGTGTTCAAACACTTCAAAAGTGGTAAAAACATAACCTGCCAGATCAATCAGATTGATTTTTCCAGTGGCAAGCCCTTCTGAGGTTACTGAGATCACAAGCACTCCATGGCTTCTACTAGAGACATCATTTAAACCAGTGTGTGCAACTTTCCTCCGCTGAACGCCACACAAGTATGCGTCTTGAAACTCAGACATGGAGTTAACAGGGACACTAGAAAGTCCCTTAAGATGAACTTGTCCATCTTTGTCATCCCAGATAGCAATCTCGTTTGCTTTAACTTCTAGGAGATCCCAACATCTGTCCATGTAAACTTCATAATATGAAATCTCTGCTTTACTCCCTGTCTTCTCGCACAAAGACAGAATGGTGGACATGGTCAATGGCATCAAACCAGGTAGCTCATCGAATCCCTGATAATCAAATGCAAGCAAAAAGAGCTCATGTAACCATTATGACTTATGAGGAAGCAATTTGCAGAAAATCCCAAAGTAGGAAAGAGCTATGAATGTCTGCTAAAGCCATTTCACAGCTCAACATTATACTGGTTATGATAAAATCTCACAAAAAAAAAAGAGTTTTAGAAAATCAATCAGAAGCTAAGTAATCCAACATACCCTAATCCAGATATAAATCACTAAAAATCTCTCAATATACCTAATCCTTTCCTCTACCATCAAACAACACTTGTCAAAACCTCGCCTTTTTCAACACAATTTAAACACAGACTAGAGAGAAGCAACGGAGAAATCCAATTTCGATATCCACCCAAACTCCAAAATTGTGAAAATTTATATAGCATAACCGACCTGCATCGTAAACGTCTTTCCGCTTCCGGTGGCTCCATAAGCAAGCACAGTAGCGTTGAAACCGTGAAAGATACCAGGAATCAAAGGGCTTACTTCCTTATCAAAGATCTGCTTCACATTATCATCATCTCTCCCGTAAAACGCATCCAGCTGATAGCTTTCGTTTCGACTGCTCAACAAAAAATACACCGAATCCATATTCAAATTTCTAAGTAATGAGAATAAAAAATTGACGAAAAGGAAAAAGGAAACAAAAAGACGATTACCAGCTATCTGGATCTTTGAGGTAAACTGCCACTTCGCTGGAGTCATCGCCGTCGATAACGGAAACGCAGGATCGTCCGTCACCACTCTCGTCGGGAATCTCCCGGGGAAGAAAGGGACGAACCCTGAGAACGACCCTGACCTTTGAATTCGAAGACGAATCCAACACTTTAGTTTTCGCCGGGGTTTTCGAATCCATCTCTGTATGTTATTGAGAAAAGATGTGAGATAAGTCAGTTTCAAAATTTGAGATAAAGAGTAATGAGTGAGTCAGTGATCCGTTGGTAAAGATTTTGAATTCGATATGTTCAAACAAAGGCCTTTTTATTTGTTTTTTAATTTTTCCTTTTGACTTTTTAGTACTTTGGGCCTATTTTGGGCCCACTTTATGCTCTAATCTTCGAAGATCGGACGGCTCTAATCAAAAGCCTATAAAAAAATATACAATTGTCCTCAATTGCAGTTAACGTCCGTTAAATACTAAATTCCTGTCCAGTGTTCCCGAATACCATTTCAATCCACTACCGAATACCATTTCAAGGAAGTCCAGGTTTCGAATCGTAGGCATCACAATGTCCAGCTCATCTTTCAACATTGGCGTGGGTTTCACGGAAGAATACAATTGCGCCATTTCAAACAACAAGGAAGAAAAGCGTAGCTATGATTGCAAAGACAAAGAGAGATGTATGATAATGAAGATGACTCTTTGGTATTTATAAAGACTAGATGGAAATATATTATATTCACTCTTAAACGGAAAAAGTGTAACTTTCGTCTTTTTATGCGAAAACATGTTGTTGTTGTTTCTTATTTTTCATGTTTATAAATACCAAAGAGTTACCTTATGAAAAAATGGAAAATTCACAAACGGTTACCTTATGAAAAAATGGAAAATTAACTTGCGCTACTTTTAAGCTGTTTACTGTTTGACTAATTGCGAACAAAAAAAGGAAATAACTGAACCTTATAAAAAAGGAAATTACTGAAACGTTAGAAAAAAGAAAGGAAAATCACAAACGGCTACAAATTATGAAAAAAAATAAAAGGAAATTCACTTTGCATTAATTTTAGGTAAACTGCTTACTCCTTGAGGAAAAAAAGGAAATTTCCGAACGTAATTAATTGGGATTAATTTAAACTGACCGACTCCCCTACACAACTAAATGTCCGGTTTTAACTTTTGTATTTTTCCTCATCATAATGACAGCCCAACTAAATCTAATAGGGCTTTTAGTTTATGAAAAGCCCACTAAAGGATGCTGTGAGAGATAAGCTAAGCTAATTGCAACTTTTTTTTTTTTGTTTGACAAGTGTATACATTTATTAACCGATTTGTCTGATAGAACGAACATGCGAGAGTCAGCGAGACTACGCATCATTTTTATTTGATCAAGGCCACGATCATCCCTTATTCTTAGCCTTAAAGCCAGATGAAAAAATAATCGTCGACATGTCAAATAAGCCAAAGAAGATGGTGATGGAAACTGAATTCCATTGAATGCAAGTATGTTATATGTTTCAGGTGTGCTACCTTACCATACAAGGCAAAGTACAAGCATGACACACATTTCCTCACATTTCGGGAAGGGAAAGAGGTATGTGAAAGGAAATTAATATACTCAAGAAAAGGCCGTGGATTCTTCTATGCGTGTGATGACTGCTGCACCACTCTCCATGTTGATTGTTTGCTAGGAGGAGACCGACCAATATATGCTGAAACATGGTCGGTCATATTGTAATGACTTATAGGTCGAACATTCATATTCTTCCCAACATAGACCATTCTGCCATCGTCATAAAAAAGACCGTTGTCCACTCAAAGTGGTTTTTAAATGGCACGACATGACATTTTGTTCTTACTGTTGTTCCATGTATTAAATGTCATCACCACCAGTTTATTTGCCATCTTCATCTGTGCTGCGTTGTCTCTTGTTCGCTATCTTCACTTCCCATTTTGTAACATCATCTTCTATTAAAAACGCATTTCAATTTATTAAAAGGTTGTTTAATAGAATTTGTATCGGCCTTTTGAGCTTTGTTATCGACATATCATATACATCGACGGCTCTCGCCTGCAGGCTGCAGGATGAGTGGTGTTGCCTAATGGACCCGACGGTCCAAAAATCATCGGGAACCTCTGCATTGCCGACGTGAACGAATGGTCAACGCATTAGCTAAATAGTGCCGTTTGAGATTTACAACTTTTGTTTCCAACGTTAACCCTTCTTCTACTTTTAACGTCCGTTAAAACCCATTCTGCTCTTTTGTTGCCATTTACGGTTCTAGTTTGGTTTTTAAGATAACCGGCTGTTTGATCAAACCGCGATTGAAACTCATTGTTCTCGGTTTTTAATTTGGAGAAATAGTATAAAAGCCAGTCACATAAATTTAACAAAGCATAAACCCTTCACTGTTATATTATCTTATTCGAGTAATATCATAGTATAAAATGTTTATCTCAATAAATAAGTAGTGTGACATTTGAGTCGGTTTGGAATAAACCAGCCGGTATTTGGTTAACGGCGATTAACTGTTACGTCGGCGGAAGAAGTATTCGTTACAATCTTATTAGTTTCAACCTCTCTTTTTTATGTAACCCATTTTTTTTTTTTTTTTTTTTCCATAGTCTCTTCTTCTCCTCTCTCTTTTCTCTCGTTCAACGGGCAAAGTTTTTTTCGAATAAAGTTTTGATTTTTTTTTTTTTTAACGTTCCCTTTCTTCTTCTTCTTCTTCTTCTTCTTCTTCCTCGCGAATTCGCCCCATCTCTCTATCTCGATGAGCTCCAGTTCGAATCCAGCGGCTTGTTATCCGGTAAAGGTCAGTTTTTTTATTCTTTCCCTGAATCTGATTAGGGCTTTTCATATATTGGTGATCAGATTGTTATCTTCTTCTACTGTGGTATGAGTTCATGGATGTTAGGTCTGAATCGGAACACGGGTCTTATTTGTTCCCTGTTGATTAGAATTGCTGTAAACCCTAAATATCACAATAGCTGGAAAGTATCGACTTTTTTTTAGTGATTTCCCCGATTTGTTAGATCTGGCTTCTGTTTTGCGGCCGTGGGTTTTCTAGGGTTTTATGATTTTCGATTGATCGGTTGATAAAGATCCCTCCTTCTTTATTTCGTGTTCAATCCCATGTTTTTTTTTAACGAAAATTCTGAAATTTGGTGATTTTCATGGGTGGTTGGATCTTTAGGAAGAGTTAAGTGAATTGCAAACTGAAATTCAATGTATGGAGAATAAGCAACCATTAGCTGCTTCTTGCTCATCTGCATCCGAAGGCAGTGGCTGTTTCTTCCTCAAGTCACCTGAAATCGCAACTCCTGCCACATCATCTCCAACTCCTCGGTACTGTTACTGTTCTTTTTCAACTTTTTTTTTCTGTGTGTTATGAATTTAATTGTTTGGAAAGATTGTGTGCTTTGATGATTTATGTCGTTCTCCAACTCTGAATACAGCGCCTTAGTCATTCTCAAATCTTGGGTTTTCCAATGTTCTAACGTCGATTTTGCAGGAGGACTAGTGGGCCTATGAGACGAGCAAAAGGTGGTTGGACTCCAGAGGAGGTTAGTGGTTGCTTTTGTTTCTAACTTCCTGGTTTTCTGTTTCATAATTTAGTTGAGATGTAGAGCAACCTCGTTCGATTATGTATATGGATTACTGTTTACTTGAATGCAACGATGAGACTAGCATTATTGTGGCATGTAATTGGGGTTTTATCATTATTCAGGATGAGACCCTTAGACGAGCAGTTGAGAAGTATAAGGGGAAGAGGTGGAAGAAAATAGGTAACTTTCGTTTCTGGAATCTATTTCCTGTAAAAGTAGTAGCAACGGTGTTGCAACAAATTCAATCAGATTATTGGTCTTCTAATGATGAACCTACATACTTGGATCATTTATAAGATTTGTATTCTGGAACTGAAATCTTTTCAAGATGTATTTACAGGAATGTATGATTGATACATTCAGGAACTGAACTCGTATCTTAAGTCTGCTGAGAATTTTGTGATATTCTCTCATTCAGCAATGTGATCGCTGCTGTGCACTTTGCAAGAGAACCATATTTTTTTCTTGCCTCTTCAATGTTAAAGTAGCTGGTTTTGGTCATTCTTCTGGTTGTTTGATTTTTTTGTATTTCTTTTACAGCGGAATTTTTTCCAGATAGAACAGAAGTCCAATGCTTGCACCGGTGGCAGAAAGTTCTTAATCCAGAACTTGTCAAAGGACCTTGGACTCAAGAGGTTCTCTTTTCTATTTCAAGTTCTAAAACCTTTTTTGCTTTCGACTTAACGTAAATTTGTTAGCTGTAAAATTCTCTTCTTTTGTCATTTGTAGGAGGATGATAAAATCGTTGAACTTGTGAAAAAATATGGACCTGCCAAATGGTCTGTTATCGCGAAGTCTTTACCAGGTCGTATCGGGAAACAATGTCGAGAAAGGTAAAGATTAAAATTTTGACCATCTGAAGAGAAGAGTCTATGTCTCCTTTGCTTTTGGAAGCCTCAATATGTTTATGATTACAGGTGGCACAATCATTTGAATCCTGATATTAGAAAGGATGCTTGGACCATAGAAGAAGAATCAGCTCTCATGAATGCTCATCGAATATACGGAAACAAATGGGCGGAAATTGCCAAGGTTTTACCCGGAAGGTATACTTTCTTTTTGAACATAGTTAAAAAAATGTCTGATAAGAAATAAAGTTAATTGACATTTTTGAACATTTCATACAGTCATTGCTTCTGATTTCTACCTACTTTATGCAGAACTGATAACGCCATAAAGAACCATTGGAATAGTTCTCTGAAGAAAAAATTAGAGTTCTATTTAGCAACTGGTAACTTGCCACCGCCAGCAACCAAATTCAGTGTTCTGAATGATATTGCTGATGGAGACAGAGATTCCAAGCAGTCTAGTGCAACTAAACCTTTCAAGGATTCTGATTCTGTTGCCCAAACTTCTTCGGGAAATACAGATTCAAATGAAGTTGGAAAAGACCATATTGACGCTTCTTCAGCTCTCCTTGAAGAAGTAGCTGCTTCAAGAAGAATCAGTGTCAATGAATATGCTTGCTCTCCTGTTGAGCACAAGCCTCGGTTGCCTAATCTGGAACCAATTTCAGAGGAAGTCAGAATCAACTCAAGAGCTTATGTTGAGAGATCAATCCAGAGGAAAGAAGAAAATGGGTTTGGAACTCCAAAGCATGGGAATTTGTACTATAAGTCTCCACTCGACTATTACTTTCCATCAGAAGCGGATCTGCAACGTATGTATGGATCTGAATGTGGTTGCAGTCCTGAATCTGCAACACCAGTCAGCTTAATCACTCCACCGTGTAACAAAGACAGTGGTTTAGCTGCAACAAGAAGTCCTGAATCTTTCTTGAGAGAAGCTGCTAGAACTTTTCCAAACACACCTTCTATTTTTAGGAAAAGACGAAAAGTTGTTTTGGCTGCAAAAACAGATGATGATGCTGTTGTTAATGTTGGAGTTAAGGAAGCTGAACAAAAAGAAGAAAGTAAAGATAGCTCAGATATTTCTCCAGCAGGGAGAGAAAGTTTGTTACTGGAGACAACTGATGATTGTAGGGATGATGAAAAACTGGAGTCTAATGGGAATGTTATCAACGTGTCTCCACCGTATCGGTTAAGGGCTAAAAGAACAGCTGGAATGAAATCAAGACAGCTTGAGTTTACATCTGCAAAAGAGAATCAGCCAGATAATGAAACCGAAACATCTGAGTTAGCATCTGAGGAAGACAAGCCTCTATAGAACCCTTCTTCTCTTTATGGAAAAATCTTTTTGATCTTGTGCATACAGAGCTGGATAGCTTACAAAACTGTGAGTAACATAATCCCTCTAATGTCAATAATCTGAGTTACAATTCTGAAATCCCATCGTTTTTGATACAGAGATCATGTGGAGAAACCAACAAGGTTCCAGAAGAATTGAAGCTTTGCTGGGAAGAATAATGTGATGAAAAATCATTTTCATTCTCTTCCTCACAGCCCCAAGCTGTTGGGTCATCTAACACAGGAACTAGGATGAATAGGTAGGTACACTCGAAGTAGTTTAATTTTATTGTTTACTCATACATGGTGGGAAACGATCTTTGTTTAGATGATAATTGTGCAGAAACTAGTTTAAGAAATTAAAATTGGTTATATTCTTTCATTTAGAATTGGTCGATAAATCTTCTTTTTACACTGACATTTTTTCATCTTCAGCCATCGAAGTGATATCAGAACACAACGCATTCGTTTTCGAGTATATACTTTATTATATATATATAAACTTTCTCAAAATGGCTATATACAATTGCTTTTTTACTTCTTCTGATAGGATCTCTCTCCTCTGATCAAAGGGAGATTTATAACAATTTTTGGGTAGAAGAATTAAGTAAATTTGAATAAAAATTAAAAAAAATGCAAATCTGCAACCGAGACTAAACAACGAACTGCAGATAGATTAAATACTCTATTTACAAACATGATCTCATATCCACAAATAAAGAAACCAACCAAAGTGACAGAAATTAAATTAAAAAACCATCAGAAAAGCTTAACTGATGATGATTTCAAAGCAACATGCGCATACGATCTCATAGAGGACAATGTCTGAGAAAGAAGCGCAGACAGTCTAAGGTAAGAAGCCTCCAATTGTGGTCTGGTTGAGAACTTTCGAATTGTGATCAAGTCCATGAGAACCAACCTGCGAAGGAGTTCACAAAGCAAAATATGATTTATTACCATACAAATGAAAAGCTACTATTTTGATTGTTTAGACAAACATTTACCATGTAAGTTAAAGCAGCATAACGTTCTTCATTCAGGTATAGTGGTTTCCCTCTGGCCATATCGATATCCTAGAACATATAACCAATATCCATAGCATGGAAACATCCGAATCAACAATATGATACCCATAAACCTAAACGTAGATAGAAAGAAAAATCTTCGTAGATTTACCTCTTCTCCAAACGTATCCAAGTAAGGAGATGGCCAAGGTGATTGTCTTGCAAATCTTTGTAGCAAAATTGTGGTCCGCTATCAGAAAATGAAGATTAATCAATTCATATCCCAGTAAAGATGATCACACCATACATACACACGCAATATAGATAGATAGAGAGACCATACCCTTATCAGAAGATATACACTGGTACCAGCACCACAGGTAATCGCATGAGTCTGACAACCACTTTCCCTGTAAAATTAATGTTAGGGGATCACTATTTGTTTTTTTTAAAACAATAAAAACGTTAATCAAGACGATATTTGGAGACTAGTAGAAGTAAAGCAAATACCTGCAACAAGGTCTCCATATTGGAGAACACAATCTTCCACAAAGAAGACATAATGCAGGTTCTTCGATAACTTTGGTGCAGTTGCTGCAAGGTTGTTTTATACACCTAAAAAAGAAAACATGGCTTCTTGATTAGGGTTACTGTCTTTGAATGGGAAACAGCTCGTGCAAAAACCAGAGAGATATCGCTACAAACCTTTGCAGTAGGTCCTGGTATAGATTGGGTAATTTCATTAGCTGGAAATGACCTACAGGGATGATGCAAAGGGGCCTTCGAACTCTGTTGACTCTGTATTCCCGCAGAAAATGCTGGAGCCATGTTTGAGTTGAAGAGCGGAGATGTTCATCGTTGAGAATGGTATCTACAGGTGGAATCTTAAACATTTTCTCCAATTCTTGCAGATGATTCAGCTCAGATTGGGGACTGTACATGAAATCCATATTGTCGCTGGTGGAGTCAGATGGCAAACCGACCATATCTCCCTCTTCATGAAACTTCCCAGGAGAAGATTTCAGTAGCTTCCACAACAATGCACATCTCCTCAAGAAAGGAAGACTATATTTACGGATTGTGTCTTTTATATCACATGATAAATCCATATTGTTGGACATGAAATACTCCAAACCACCTGATTCTCTCAAAGCGTTGGAGATGTCATTAAGCAGGTTTTCCTCAAAATTTAGTTCACTCAAGTCACTTAGGCGACATGCACAATAGGCAATTACAGTCTGCACCAAAGACAACAAGATTAGGAAATGCAAGTCTAAAGAGGTAAAATTAGTATATGCATAGAGAACAATATGGCATACCTGAACAAGAGAGACACCGTGGAAAATATGCACAAGTGATAATAGAGATTCCTCGCATGTGAGAAAAGGAAAAGGGAGACAAAAGAGAGCCCACATCAGTGATGAAAATGGGTCATGCATAAGAACTGGATCAGATGCTCGATTCCAGAGCAGGTTTATAAATTTCAATGAACTTGTTGTGCCTGAAAAGATGGCAAATATTGAGAAACATCTACAGTTAGCAACTATTTCATCAATATTTGGGAATTTCTAGATCTGACTAAAATTGATCCCATTAAATCCCAACTAATGTATAAGTGCATATACGGAGGCCATGTCCATAAACATTTCCATGCCAATTATTCTCTCTGAGAATAGGAGAAAAAAGTACCTTCACTTCCAAATATGCTGCTCGAAGAACTACTTGAAATTCCAGAGCATATAGAATCTGCGAGATGCTTCATACCCATAAATCTCTGACGAACATGAATTGCGTTCTTTGTTCTGGTGCTCTGTACCACTCGTAATAGGAGTGTCAAAACAGTCCCCGTAGAGGATTTAAACTCTTCATACAAGGAGTCAATACAATAGACAGGAAGCATTGAATTCTTAGCACAACGAGTGACAATTTCCATTGAAATAAGAGAGTACTTAAGGGTGTCCCACATGAAGATTGATTGTGGTAGCCACGAACTTTCTGAATGTTTTTCCTGTGGCTTGGGAAAATAGAAATTCCACAGTTTGTTAGATATAGATTCAAGATCTTTCCTTCTTGGTCCATCTCCCTGCAGACAACCTGTTTTTCCGCTATCACCATCTTCCATCACTTCAGCAGCAGATCGCAGTAGACACAACCCTTCAGAAATCCAAAGAGAAGGTTTTTGTGCATCTGATCTACCTAACTTAGTAGGTGAACCTTGAAGCTTTGAGATAGAACATAAATCTCCAGGACATGCAGGCAATACGGAATTGGCAAGCCGGCGGCATGCAGGACAGAGAAATTCTCCCTGACAGAAGAAACAATGTTTAAGCTTCAGAAGGAGAACACTAAAGCACAAGAAAATATATCTCTACATTGGTCACGCAAATACCTGTATTAGATCCACAATATGCGCACCTTCATAGACATTTCTCCTGCCAGACCTACACCATCCAAACAAACAAACAAAAAAAGCTGTTAAACATAACGTGATATCAACTGTAAATCAAGGAAAGAAATAACCAATTCAATTATGCCCAACAGGTAGAAAGGACGTATCAACTTAAGAGAATAAATTCACTTATTTAGACGATGATTAATTAAGACTTTTTCGCATATGATCCCAAAGAAGTAAACATGGCTCACCTTTCCTTTAAGGATTTTAAATATCGTTCAAGACAGCTTTGATGCACAGCATGTCCACATGACGAAAGATAAACCCCATCACAGTCGGTAGGGTGAAACCCATTTGAACCAGCATCAGGACGTCTGGAAGTCTGTCTTGATCGAATATCAGGAAATCTAACTAGTAAAGTAGATGGACCACCAACAGAATTTTCCTCCGAACTATTTTCAGCTTCATGATGTCGATGATCCACACGTGTAAGGCTTTGATTTATCATATTTTCAATTTTTTTGCAAACAGTTTGGTACATGGCTATCTCCAATGATTCCCTGTTAGATTCATCTTTGCCCCTCCCATCGCTAGACCTCTTCTCTGTTTGACCATTCCCTATAAGCCGGGATTTTATAGTTTCAAGCACAGAATCGGTAGCTGACTCAAAGATATGATCATCTGACAGTTGCAGCATGTGAGGAGAACTTATTCTTAAACCATCTGAAGAGGCATTCATTCCCAAAAAATCAGAAGCTCCATCCACAGATATCTGCTTTTCGGATTGTGGCAATTGATCCCAAGATGGAGGGCCTCTATCCACAAAACTCAATAGTTTAGATTTCTGCAAGAAAAAAAGAAATCATTAAGAATGATCCAGAAAAAAACTTCCTCGGAGTATATGTTTATTTAACCTTAACAGTCACAAATTATAGCATTATCCATGCTACCAACCTGGAGAAAAATCAAGAAAGAAACGGGGTCTTTGGAATCTGGGTCATGGCAAAGGGAGCAAACTTCACGGACAGCAATTGAATCATGTTCCATAACAGAGTCACTTGTTTCAGTTTCAGATCTTGCATCATCATCGTCCATGCTGGAGCTCATGGTAGACAAGAACTTTGACTGTTCCGCTTTCATTTTTGCCTGCATGCAAGTTATAATAAGCACAACTAGCATATCCTAAAACTTATTAATTCAAACTATAGAGGCAACTTGAATAATGAGCATAAAAACAATTTAAACAGCCTTATACAAAAAATCGTCTATTACCACAGAGACATCTATGTCTACGTTCGCCACACTCCTTGTTGATGCTTATCAACAAGGGAGAAACATAAAAAAAACATAAAAAAGCATGCACGTCAAGTAGCGAACAGCAGCCTCATATGTTAAAGTTCATGATCCTACATCAATGGCTACCGGTTCTGTAAAAAGGATCTTACCATAATAGCAGCCTGCCTCTCTCTAGCTTTAGCCTTGCGCTTCTCATCAGACGCAGAGCCTGACATGACTTTATCAAAGCCAGATTGACCAACCACCTCTGGGGTAAGACTTTGCAATAGGTTCATACAAACAGAATCAATTGCACTGAATTTCTTCAGCAGATTTCCAATCCAGGACGAAATATTACAACTGCCCGCCTCTGGAAATTGATGGAGGCCATCGCCCACACGAGTCCTCATTAACGAAACAAGAAGTGACAACAAACTTTGTTTTTCAGTCCCTTGATCTATACCAATTATTTCCAGACCAGCTAATTCGAGAATTGGAATTGAATTTTCTAAGCACCAATCCTGACTATTAGATTGCCTCTGCTGAGTGCAAATATCCAATGATAACGAGAGCAAGTGCAGTGCAGTTATAAGAACGCCATCTGGAGCACGTGATTTCACTGATGTACCACTCTCTAGAGCGTAGTATAAAGCAGATGAAATGATCTGAAATGTGGCTTTGCAAGTGCCTATTCTAGCAAGCCCCTTTAGAGGCGGATAGATCATTCTCCACCTAGGAAGCTG